GGGGGGAGAGGGGAGGGAGGGGGGCCAGGAGCAGTTTAGTAGCAGGTTGGCTGAGAGAAAAGTGGCTTTTGAAAAATGGGATCGTTGCTGCCTGCTGGGAGTGACCTGGGGAAGTCATCAAGTCTTCTGGGCCTGGAAGGGCTGCCCCTGGTGGTCTCCGAGGCCCCTTCTGGTCCAGGGCAGATTCCGGTTCTCGCCCTTTCTCTCCCTTTCCCATCCCTTTTCCACTCTTCCTGTCCGGCTCCCTCCCCAGGCCTCCTCTCCCCGCCGTACATCTACACAGTTTGGGGCCTGGCTAATCCTGGGGCAGGATATCGATTGCCAAATAAGGCTTTGTTGCTGAAGATGGAAGTGGAATGTGACTGAGTTCTGAGCCTCCGGCCCCTGCCTGGGCTGCCAAGCAAATTAGGTCATTTCAACGGAGGAGCTTTTTTTGAAAGGATGCTGGAGCCTGGAGAGGAACGCAGTGGTGGGGTTGCTAAAACGGGCCGCGAGAGACAGCCGGGCAGCCTCTCAGATGTTTGCTAAGCACCCACTAGACTCAAGGCCCTGGGCTGCGAGCTGGGGGTGCAGGGATAGAAAACAGCCACCGCCGCACCCTGGCCTTTGAAGAGCTGAAGACTTCCTGGGACCAGAACGCGATGCCGCTCTCCCACTGTCCTGGCTATAGGCTGGTCGATGTATTAGAGATAGAATCCTATAAGGCCTTTTTGGGGGTTTGCAGGGCTCCAGGTCAGAGGTTAAGGGCCCAGATGGGGCTGCCCCCAGGCCATTTCAGAATACAGCCAGCTCCAGGCTTTCTCTTGTGATGGAGGAGAGGGGGAGGGATTGCCTGGATTCAGTGAAGAGAGAAGAGTCCTCGGCTGGCATTGGAAGAGAAGTACAGAGAAGACATGATCCCTGACATCAGCAAGCATGTGTTATGCACCTACTGTGTGCCAGGCACTCTATTAAGCACTGGGAATACAAAGAAAGGCCAAAGATGGTCCCTGCTCTTGAGGAGCTTACAATCTATTGGGGAGATAACTCGCAAAAAGTAAACTTACAGATAACTTAGAGATTTCTAATGATGGAGGGGGTGGGACAGACTTCTGGAGAGGGTGGGATTTTAGCTGGGATCGAAGGAAGTGCAGGCATCTAGGAGGAGGAAACGGGGAGGGAGAGCGTTCTAGGCGGGGGACAGCCAGAGGACATTCCAGGACTTGGGAGAGGAGAAGCCAAGAGGCCAGGGGCCCTGGATCAGAGCCGAGGAGGGAGGCACAGGGAGACCAGGGGGGTGGGGGAGGCAGTCAGGAAGGGCTCTGAATCCCCATGGGATTTCGTATTAGATCTTGGAGGTGACTGAGGGGCAGGCAATGACATGACCTGTGTCATGGATGACCCAGCTTTAGGAAAATCACTTTGGTGGCTGGATGGAAGATGGGAGGGCGTGGGGAGACACTCACGGCAGGCAGACCCACCTGGAGCGATGGCAGAGGCCCACGTATAGGGTGAGAGGGTCTGCAGAGGGCGGTGTCCAAGGAGAGAAGGACCGATTCAAGAGACCTTGGTGTAGTCACCGGGCCTTGGCAGCAGATTGAATGTGGGGGTGGAGGTGAGGAACAGTGAGGATCTGAGAATGATATCAGGATTGGGAGGCTGCTGGCCCTCGACAGTAATGGGGGAGGGGAGAACAGGGGAGGGCTTGTGGGGAAAGATCATGAGCTCATGGTGCCTCTAGGAAGTCCGGTTCTGAGACTTGAAGCTGGAGGCCAGCAGAGAAGTTAGGGCTGTTCAGAGAGATCTGAGAGTCATCTGCTGGAGATGGTCATTAAATCCACGAGAGCTGAGGACCCCACCAAGTGAGGCAGTATAGAGGGACAAAAGAAGAGGGCCGGGGAGACTGGGCAGGTATGGCCTGGTTGAAGAGCCCACGTAGGAGCCAGAGAAGGAGCGGTCAGAGACCTGGGAGGGAGTGGTGTCCCAGAGACCCAGAGAGAAGAGAGTGATTACCAGCACCAGAGGCTGCAGAGAGGTCCAGGAGAATGAGGACTGAGAAAAGGCCTTTACGCTGGACAGTCAAGAGGTCACCAGTAACCTTGGAGAGGGCATGTTCAGTGGAATGATGGGGTTGGAGGCCAGAGTGAAGAGAGTGAGAGGAAAGTGGAGGGCAGCTATTGTAGATGGCCTGAAAAGAAGGAGATCCAGGATGCTAGCCAGCAGGAGTGGCTGGATCAGGACGGGGGAGACGTAGCGAGTGGGATGTTGGAGAATGGAATGGATTCCCTCAGGAGAAGGACTGCTTCCTCATGAGCCACGGGGGAAGGAGAGGTGGCAGAAGGCATCTGAACGATAGGAAAGGAGGAAGAGGGGAGAAGAGGGAGCCCTTAGTGAATGGGCGCCATGTTTTCTGTCAGACGTGCGGCAGCCGTGGGAGCCTGAAGGAGGTTTGGAAAAGCAGCTGTGGAGAAGAGTGAGAGAGGGAGTCAGCTGGGGGGGTTACAAGGATTGTTCTGTGGCAGTCGGATGGTGAGCTCCTTCAGAGGAGGGATCGTCTTTGCGTCCTCAGCACTTGGCACCCTGCCTGGCGCTTAATACAGCACTATTGTACTGACGGAGAGAGGGCCCACTGGAGATTAACAAAATGTGACAGGAAATAGAATGACAAATGAGAAGAAATGTGGAAACAGTTTTCAACGATAAGCAGGAGCCATACGCTGAAGGACTTTAACAAACAGGCGGCCTGGAGACAATAGGGAGCCTGTGATGCTTCAGGATCAGAGAGTGGCATGGTCAGGTCTGTGCCTTAGAAATACCACTTTGGGGGGCAGCTAGGTGGTGCAGTGGATAGAGCACTGGCCCTGAAGTCAGGAGGACCTGAGTTCAAATCTGGCCTCAGACCAAACACTTGACACGTACTAGTTGTGTGACCTTGGGCAAGTCACTTAACCATGATTGCCTCACTAACAAAAAAAAAAAAAGAAATACCACTTTGGCCATAGAGGAGGGAAGAGAAGGGAGACAGGACAGCTAACTGGAAGGCTCTCGCAGTCATCCAGGTGAGAGGCAGTGAAGGTCTGAGCTAGGGTGGGGCCATGGGAGCGAGAGAAGCGGGGCTGATGCTGGATTATGTGATATAAACTATAATGTGGAGGAATTACACTTTATTACTATATTGACAGGATATTAATGTGGATTGGTATAATGAATATAGGTGAATAGAGGTCTGTGAGACACCTGAAGGGAGGAAGAAGCCGCTTCTGGCCCAAGGGACCAGGGAAGGCTTCCTTGTACTTGAGGTGGGCATTGAAGGATTTCATCAGGGCACCCAGAGGGAGGGTAGTATATTAGCAAAAGTAAGGCGCATAGGATGAGATCTTGAGACTGTCAATAATCCAATTTGGCTGGGCTCTGGAGTGTACAGAGGGGAATCACATGAAATAGGGCTGGAAAGGAACATCGGAGAAAGCCTTGACTGCCAAGCTAAGGAGCTGGGTACTTAGCAAGTAGAGATTGCAGGAGAGTCACAAGGCCACGGGAGGCTCAGAGCTCGGTGCCAGCTCAGTGCCACTCCCCTTTGATGACGTTATGCTGGTAGTGCCTGCCTCCGGACTGACCCACTGCCCCTGAGCACCTATTCTGTGTGCGTGTATGCCCGGCATGGCAGAAGAGCCCTACCCTTTCTGGTACATCCTTGCTGTGTGACCCTTGCCAAGTCACCACACCTGTCTGTGTCTCACCTGTCAGTTGTATGGGCGTTGAGGGGCGCTCCCTCCCTTTCTCAGGTTTCTTGTTTCGCACGCGTGAGCTGGCCTGCATAGCGTGGGGCAGTAGATGGAGCAGTAGATGGAACAGTAAGCCTGGAGCCAGGAAGACCTCTTAAAATCAAATCCAGCCTTCTTAGGTGTGTGTAGTTCCTAGCTGTGTGACTCTGGGCAAGTGACTTCGCCTCGGTTTCCTTAACTGTAAAGGGGGACTGGTCCTAAAAGCCCCTACCTCCAAAGCTTGTTGTAAGGATGCGATGAGATAATGACTATGAAGGTACTCAGCACAGTGTCTAGCACACAGTAGGCTTACATAAAGCGCAATGAGCACTAGCCCCCTTCCCCTTCCCTGGCCGGTCATCCTCGTCCCGACTCCCCCCAGTAGCCACCCTCTGCAGCTCAGATGTCGCCGCGCTTTCATTCGTTGCCCTCGATGAAGGAGGAAGTTTTGAAATCCTTTTTTAAATAAATAATTTTTCCTTATGGTCATCAACTAACTTAACTTTTCCACATATAGAGGACAGGGGAAAAAAGCACTGCATGTAAGTTGATAAGTCTGCCGAGCACAGCGTCGGCTTTTTCTTCAGCATCCATCACACTTACCACGTAAGTCCCTGCACTGCCCTGCTCGTCTGTGTTCCCTTCTGGACGTCTCTCTTCTCCTGTCTGTGTGCTTGTAGCTGTTTCGTTGATGCTTGTCTTAATTTGGGGGGGCATCACTGCCGCCCCCTGTAATATTGCCAGCTCCCCTGAAGGAAAGCTGACCCCTGTAACAAATACCTACATTCAAGCAAATCAGCTTTGAACAGTGTTGGCTGTGTTCAAAACTGTGTGCCTCATTCCGTAGCAAGAGCACTGCCTCTGCCAGGAGGTGGGTAACGTGGCTTTGTCACTGGTCGTCTGGAATCAGTCCTAATTCTTAAGTCTTTTCAAGTTGGTATATTTTTTAAAATATTTTTTTCTTTTTGTAACAGTCACATAACTTCAAGTTGTTTTATTTTTTTTAAAATATTTTTCTTTATTTTTTTTGAAGTCATATAACTTCGGGTTGCTTTATTGACAGTGTTGAAGTCATTGTGTAACTCATTCTTTGGCTTGCTTCACTCCACCTCGGTTCTTACAAGTCTTCCCAGAAATCCATTTTAAAGGATCAATGTAAACTCCATCTGCAGTGTGTAAAGATTGGGGAAGGGCCCCCTGAGAAAAGCATGGTGTCTGAATGGCATGCACCATCGTGCTGCTCTCTTAGCAGTGACCGAAGAGCGCAGGGAAGATGTGCCTGGAGAGATGCCAGGGGAAGGAAGCCCAGCCACGGGCACCCATAGCCCAGAGTTGGCACGGGCAGTCAGCCGGCCGCGCTCTGAGGGTTAGAGGCTAGTGCGGGCTTCTGCTGGCAATCAGCAGGCTTCCTGCTCCAGAGGTTGCCAGGAGGGCTTGTTTGGGGCTTTGTTGGGAAGGGTCGAGTGTATCAGACCAAAGCATAGACATTTAGTTTTTAAAATCTTGTCTTCAATCTTCACCCAAGCACTAAAGTGTTAAAATGACACTTGAGGAAACAATAAAACCGTGTTCATGAAATTGCAGCGCAGGGCCATGATGATGCTTGGCTTGGGTCGGCCTGGGTTCTCTGGGTCATGGGTCATCGAGGGCGTGCCAGGCAGGACTCGAAGCTGGTTTTTCACTCTTTAGGTTGGATTCTGAGATGGTGCAAACATCACCCATTTGTTCTCTCTCCCCACAGGGCATTCGCTTCGATCCCGAAATTCCCCAGACGCTGAGGCTAGAGTTTGCCAAGGCAAACACAAAGATGGCAAAAAACAAACTCGTCGGGACCCCGAACCCCAGCACTCCTCTGCCCAGTACCGCCCCTCAGTTCATCGCCAGGGAGCCGTGTAAGTTGTGAGGCACGCGCGCACGCACATACACGCACACACACGCGCGCGCACGCACACACACACACGCACACACACACACGCGCGCGCACGCACACACACGCGCACACACACGCACACACACACGCACGCGCGCACGCACACACACACACACACACACACACACACGCACTCTCTTCCACTGTGACCGGGTGATGTGTGGAGTAGCCAATAATTCAGCGCTCATCCTGTTGTGCAGCTGCCCCTGGGGTGCCGAAGCCGGGCTAGTCTTGGGTCAGGCTCCAAGGACCGTCCCAGGACAGACAGGATCTGCTGTCTGAGGGTTAGCCCACAGCCCAGCTCAGGCCTCAGTCCCAGGAGGTGGGCCACGGGGCTGTACTTCCCTTAGCAGCAGCTGCCTGTGAAGCAGAAAGATCCTGTTGACTGTGGTGCCTTTGGATAGGGAGAGTGGGAAGCCAGGCCTGCTGGAGGATTTCCAGCTGCTGTCTGCAGGGGTCTTGGCAGTCGACCCGACAGGGACCGGGAAGATGAACTCTCTCCTGGTCACCCACGAGCCCTGCCGACTGCCGTCCGTTCCCCTGGAGGTCTGGCCCCTTCAGCCATCGGTAGAGTCTGAGTTTTGTTCCACAGCCCCTTGGCATCCCGCAGGGCTGACTGTCAGTACGTCCTTCCATTTGGGGAGGATGCTAGCCGTTAGTGTTGTCCGTTCAGGAGATGCCCGGTTTAGACTGGCCTGTCTTGGAGAGACGGGCGCCTTCTGTGAGAGGAGTCACCATGGCCCACAGACACGGGAGACGTGGACACCGGGGCTCCCAGAAGGAATCCCGATGCTCCTCAGTGACGTCCACCACGGGGGCGGCGGGGGTGGAGTCCGGGGCCCTCCACGGGTCTTTCCAGACCTTGGCCAGGGACGCCGGTGGCCTAGCTCCCAAAGCGGGGACTGTCGTAACGGACAAGAGCTGACGTTGCCCTGGTGTAGCCGGGTTTATGGGGGCTTTAAGATCAAACGTTCAGGCTCTGTTATCCCCATTTTACAGACGAGCAAATTGATGCTCAGAGGAGTTGTGCGACTGACCACAAGTCACCCAGCTCGCTGGTAGTCGGCAGACCGAGTGTCAGAACCTGAGTCTTGCCACGTCTCCCCTTCCTTCTCCGGCTCATTCCCTGAGATGCAGGATACAGGGAGGGGTCCCGTACCATAACGATCCCTTTTCTCCTTGTAGCATAGCATGACTTTGAGTACAGCCAGGCCCCCATTGGTGCAGACAAGGACTTTCATCAAGTGGTCACATGTCTTTGAAGTTGGGATTAGGTAAAACGTGGTCGTTGGTTCCCGTCCATTGGAAATAAGAAGTCCAGATTTGAATAACGGGACTGCTACGTGGGAGTGGGCCCTCGATGTCCCCCCAGACTTGTCCTCTGAGCTTCTTGCAGGGGCCAGGCTTGGGAATCGAGACCCGGACCCTTCCCACCTGTCCTTACGTCTTCTCTTCTCCCTCCTCCTCCAGCGGCCTGCCTGCTGTCAGTGCCGCTAGGGTCTCTTCCTGGACAGCGAGGGTGAGGGGCAAGATGATCCCAAGGGCCCCCCATCTCCCACATTCCTTTGAAGACAGAGGAGCAGCCACTCCTGGCAGCCAGTCAAGCTGTTGGCCGTTTTGCGCCTGGGCTCCTCACCACTGCCACCGTCGCGCCATCGTAGGAGGTGGCCACCCGGGGGCTTCCTGTCCCCCCTGCCCACCTGATGCCCTCTTGAGGTCTCACCATCAGCTGCAGCAGGAGGTGCGGAGCCTTCCCCGTGGCTGCCCTGCCTGGGGTCCTGGCCTAGCGTCCCTTGGCGGTGTGCGGTAGGGCTTCATTCACGTTGGTCTAAGGAAGAGAGAATGGAAGAGGGCGGGGCCAGTGCCACAGAAGGGTGGGCAGGAAGTCTTGGCCGTCCCTGGATCTTTACTTTCCAGGCCAGTGGAGGAGTAGGGACACTGGGACTCAGGGGAGCATCTTCAGAGGACGGCCAGCGGCCTCGCGTCGGCATGATGAGACTCGGGTCAGGGGTCTGGCCACGCCGAGCCCAGAGAAGAGGGGAGTTCTGTTGGGCACGGCCGCCGTCTTCAGGCATCGCCGCTTCATCGGGCAGTGTTCCGTGCTTGTTTATGGTTTGCGTTAGATATGCTCTTGAGACAGAGGATATTTATAAAGCCTGTGGCTGTGCCTGGCACATAGTAGGGCCTGATCTGTGTTTGTTCCTGTTTTCCTTCCCTCTCCCACTCTCCTCGATCACGGATACCAAGCCTCCAGGGGCCTCCAGTGCTGTCTGGTTGAACCCCTTTATTTTCTATATGAGGAACTGAGGTCCAGGAGTGTTGTGTAAGCTGTCCAAGGTCACACAGCCAGCAGCAGGATTTGAACTCTCTGGCTTAGAGTCAGTGGCTTCTGGAAATGCCTCCCTTGTTCTGCCCAGCCCCAGAGGGCAGAGCTGGGGTGGCCATGGAGGGAATGGCAGGCAAACAGACCGCAGCGCCGGAGCAGGGGAATCCTTCCCACCAGTGAGAGCCATCCACAGCTGGTCAGCCGCTTGGCCTGACCAGCCGGAGAAAAGACCATGCCCAGGGCCCGGCCTCTTCTTCTCCCCTTGGCATGCTGGGATTCCCTAGTCCCCCGATCTGTCTCCTCTGGGGTTCAGCCAGCACTACCAAGAGTCTCCTGAATGCTGCTGCTGCAGAGGGAATGAAACGGCAGACCCAGCCTCTCCGAGATGAGAGTGGGAGCCACCCTGAGCGGGCACAGTGGAGCTGCCAACCACTGACCCGCTCACGGGGCTGAAGGAACGCTGTAGGCTCAACAGGAGGACAGCTAGCGTGCTTTCTGCCACATGTCTCAGGAATCCAGGGAGGAAGCTGCGGGTGGGGGGCCCAGAATCAGAGAGCCAAGAGCCTGAAGCCGGCCTGGCCCCGCCTCCAGGGGTCTGAGACGGGATGGTGCATGTTTGCTGAATCCCCAGGTCCAGAAGGAGGGCGCCCCACTGCGTCTAAGCCCAGTGCCTTCTTGGGAGGTGCTCAGAACCTTGGACAACTCCGGAGTCTTCTTGGCCAGAAGCAGCTCGAGGCACGGGGTTCCCATCCCATCCAGGAGAGGCCTGGGTGACAGCCCCAGAGATTGGGCAGGACTACAGGCACCGTAGTGCGGAAGGAAGCTCGGGCCTTTTGTTCTTGGACGCCGTAACGGAAAACACATGCTGCCCAGTAATGGCTTCCATGGCTGTGCCTTCTCAGCTCCTCCAGGAGCCATGAGGCTAAATGTGTAGATTGCCTCGGTTAGGCATGGAGGCGAGAGATTTGGGTTTGGAGTCAGAGAACCTGGGTCCCATCCTTTGGGCCCCAGTGAGAGAGCTGGCCCACGTGACCTTGGAGGCAGGACGCAGAGCCAGGATTCTCCCATCAAAGTGCAGCCTTTCTCCCTTCCCCACTCCTCCCACGTTGTGCTGCTTCAAATCCGCGTCTTCTTTTTTTTAGAAAGGTTTGGTAGGTTTTCTGTTTGTTAGCAACAGAACCACAATGCATTTAGCTTTTCTCCACCTGCAGCGTCAGATGCCCTAATGGAAAGTTTCGTTTCTGAATGACTCCTCCATTAGCAATGCTGTCTTGAGTTGGGTTAAGTGTTCTTTACAGTTCTAACGTTTTCCTACTAGGAGGTTCATACTTCTTCCCAGTAACTTCCATAATAAAGCGAGTATCATTTAATATTTTAGAGGGCACCACAAATGTCACCTGGCCACGTCCTGCCATCGGGCCAGTTCGGTATCTAGGGAAATGGGAAAGAGTGTTATTTGAGACCTGGAAGAATGCTCTCCACACAGAACTCACGGAGGCCGGGGATGCCATGATTTCAGGATTGACTTCTGGCATTTCCTGGATCTCATCTGAGCATCCCGTCACTCTTCCCCGGTGAGATTGCAGGCCACCCGCGCCTGCTCATGCTTTGTTGTTCTTGTCACGTCCTTCTAGAAACCCTCCGCTGTGAATCTACTCGACGCATTTGGGGCCTTCCTCTGGTCCTTTTCACGTCCCTTGATTTCCAGAGCAGGCGGTCTTGTTACCCCTCCCTCTTCATCACATTCTAAGTGTGGGCCTGCTACGTGGCATGATTAAACTTGGCCAGAGAGGACCTGGGTTTGAATCATGCCTCGGACACCAGCTGTAGGGCAAGGGATTCCAAGCAAATCAGTTAACCTCTCTCAGCCTCAGTTTCCTCATCTGCAAAATGACAGGATTGGATTCCATGGCCTTTAGGGTTCCTTCTAACTCTAAATCTATCAGGCTTTGATGGCCCCATGTACTTTTATGAATGAAACTGCTACAGGAATGGGGAAATGCTGCAGCAGGCATTGCTGAGAGTGCATCCTTTCAGGAGCACACAGGAATGCAGCCTACCTCGTAGAAGAGGTGAGACACTTCTATCTGCTGTCCTCCTGCATCAGAAGAATGGGTATGTAGACGATAGAAAGAAAAACTGCACGTAAAAACACAGCAAAAGTAAAGACTTGTCTTTGTCAAGCTTATCCCTTCCTGCTTGTGCTTTACACGACCTCCCTGACAAAAGGCCATAGCCCAATGGGAGCTCTAAATTGGGAGATGACCAGCACTGACTGGGTGCAGGGCACCCAAGCAGTTGTAGGAAGAGAACTCATGCGAGGTCCAGTGTGTAGAGCATTGAATTGGATAGCTCTTTGTCCTGTGGGCACAGGTGTGTGATCTCTGTCCACTTCCTCTCTCCAGGCCCTGTCTCATCTCCTTGTGTGTAAAATAAAGAGGCTGGGCTCAATGATCTCCAAGGCCCATTCTGGCTCCACGTCTGATCTTATAAAGCTTTGGAAAATAAGGTTTGTCAAGAAGAGAGTCATCCATCTACTTCTTCACCGCCCCCTGTATGTTCTGATCTAGGACAGACTCTTTGAACCGAACCCCACTCTACTGCAGGAGTAGTATGCTCATTCATCTCAGCCCCAT